TGAGATTATATTGTGCGTGCTGCCGGTTGGGTTATAAAATGTGTTTTATGCAGGTGGAAATTTTGGGAAAATGTTCAATTTACAGGGGAGACTCTGCCGAAATTTCGGCAGAAAGTCTCGTGCCCTTAATCCTCTCTGGTAAACGAGGACATAGATTTAAGGAGTGAACCCGGCGTGGGTGTGATGCCGGGGTCTCCGCAGGGTTCGTCTCGGGTTCCGGGAAATTCGGGACGGGTCCTGTCAGCGGAACGATACACACAAGGCAAGGTCGCACTCTGCATAGGATCTCCTGACCTCTCTGTCCCACAAGCTTCCCCTATGTCATCCGTCTCCTCCTCCACTGTTCCTCCAGGTTTTGCCACCCTCCCTAAAGGTGATTTGGGCACTTCTTCTAATATCTCAGGTAGTGCTTTTGCTGCTGTTACTGGCTTAGGTATTGGTTCTGGTTGGATTATTGATTCAGGTGCTTCAAATCACATGACATTTGACTTGACAAATTTGAAGACTCGTACTACTCCTAGCCTTACTAGTATGGCGAATGCAAATGGCCAATCCTACCCTGTGACTGGGGCATGCACTGTTGATCTTTCTCCAAATTTAACTTTGGAACATGTTCTTCTTGTTCTTTCTTTATCTCAGAATTTATCATTTGTTGGACAAGTGACTGAACAATTAAATTGTTTTGTATTAATCTATCCCTTGTTTTGCCTTCTTCAGGATATTCGAACCTAGGAAATAATTGGGCGTGGTAATAAGAGAGGAGGACTATATTATGTGGATGATGTTTGCACGGGAAAAGCCCTTATTGCTCATGACTCAGCTGCAGACAAGAAGAAACAAATTTGGTTATGGCATTGGCGTTTAAGACATGCTTCTTTTGGTTATTTAAAACATTTATTTCCAGCTTTATTTTTGGATTTGGATATTTCTAGTTTTTAGTGTGAAACTTGTATTCTTGCTAAGAGTCACCGTGTTTCATACCCTATTAGTTTCAATAAGAATGATAAACCTTTTGCTCTTATTCACTCTGATGTGTGGGGTCCTTCCCCAGTCTCTACAATCTCTGGCATTAGATGGTTTGTGACTTTCGTTGATGATTATACGAGAATGACATGGATATATTTTATGAAAAATAAAAGTGAGGTTTTTGGTCTCTTCAAGCAATTTTATCAGATGGTTCAGACACAGTTCTCCACAAAAATTCAGTTTCTGCGCTCAGATAATGGAGGTGAATATGTGAATCATGATTTTGTGTCCTTCTTTCAGGATAACGGTCTTCTCCATGAAACTACATGTCCCTATACCCCTCAACAAAATGGGGTTGCTGAAAGGAAAAATCGTCATATTCTTGAGACGGCCCGGAGTATTTTGATAGAAGCTCATATGTCTAAGATGTTTTGGAGTGATGTTGTATTATATGCAGTGTATTTATTAAATCGTATGCCCTCTTCTGTCCATGGATACAAGACACCACTGGATGTTTTGACTTCGACACATCCCCTACTGTCAATCCTGACTCTCCATCCCCGCATTTTTTATTGTATAGCCTACGTTCACATCCTTAAACACCTACGGTCTAAATTGGATCCATGTGCTCTTAAATGTGTGTTTGTGGGTTTCTCCCCATATTCCAAAGGATATCGATGCTACCATCCTCCGACAAAGTGTACGTATGTCACAATGGATGTCACTTTCTCAGAGTTGTCCATGTATTTTCATCATGAATCCAACTCTCCTCTTCAGGGGGAGAAGGAGAATATTGAAGAGCAGAATTGGAATTGGACAATTATGTTACCTTATATTACCATAGAAAGAGAAGAAGTGATCTGCAATGACAAAGAAAATGTAGTCAGATTAGTTGAGGACTTGGCGTCACATGTTGCTAACCCCACTTTGTTCCCTGCAACTCCACATATCCCACATAATTGTTCTCCCTCTTCTACACCAACAGTACCTGTCCAAATTCCTGAGGCTTCGGATAACCCTGAGGTAAGTACAGAACCAAATTTGATTAATACTGACAATTTAATTACAAATGATATTGATAGTGTTGCAGAAACAAGGTATCAATTGCCTCCCAGACGTAATAGAGGAATTCCACCAGATCGTTTTTCACCTGAAAATTCAAAGAAGTCGAACTACCCAATTGCAAACTATGTCTCTACTCATCGATTATCTGAAGCATGTGTAGTTTTTGCTAATAAGATGACAACTGAATTTATTCCATCTAAAGTGCAAGATGCTTTGGTTGCTCCTCAATGGAAGAAAGCTATGGATGAAGAGATGCTGGCTTTGAAAAAAAATCAAACTTGGGATTTAGTTTCATTGCCACAAGGAAAACGACCAGTTGGATGCAGATGGATTTTCACAATTAAACACAAGGTAGTTGGTACCATTGATAGATACAAGGCGAGATTGGTTGCCAAAGGATATACTCAGACATATGGTGTTGATTATCAGGAAACTTTTGCACCAGTTGCAAAAATAAACACAGTTCGTATTCTAATATCGCTTGCAGCAAATTTAGATTGGCCACTCCAACAATTTGATGTGAAAAATGCTTTCCTACATGGTGAATTGAAGGAAGAAGTTTATATGAACCTACCTCCAGGATTTGATCTATCAGAAAATCCAAATTTGGTGTGCAAGTTGAGGAAGTCACTCTATGGGTTGAAACAGTCTCCTAGAGCTTGGTTTAGCAAATTCAGTTGTGCCATGAAGAAATATGGTTATCGTCAAAGCAAAGCAGATCATACTTTGTTTCTGAAGAGGAGGAAAGGGAAGGTCATTGTTTTAATTATATATGTTGATGATATGATAATAACATGTGATGATACAGAAGAGATTGATAAATTGAAACATTATTTATCAACTGAGTTTGAGATGAAGGATCTTGGAGGGCTGAAATATTTTTTGGGAATTGAAGTGGCTAGATCTCAACAGGGTATTTTCTTGTCACAGAGAAAATATGTGTTAGATTTATTGAATGAAACTGGGATGCTTGGGTGTAAACCTGCTGATACTCCTATTGTGTAGAACCATAATCTTGAGATTCTTCCAGATCAAGTTCCAACAAATAAAGACAGGTATCAGAGGTTAGTTGGAAGACTTATTTATTTATCTCACACTAGGCCAGATATTGCTTATGCTGTTAGTGTTGTGAGTCAATTTATGCATTCGCCTAGTGAAGTTCGTATGGAAGCAGTTATGCGAATTTTACAGTAACTGAAGTCTGCACCTGGCAAAGGGCTGATGTTCTCAAAACATGGACATTTGGAAATTGAAGGTTTTACAGATGCCGATTGGGCAAGAAATCGAACTGATAGGCGTTCAACATCAGGTTATTTTACATTTGTGGGTGGTAACCTTGTTACTTGGCGAAGCAAGAAATAGAAGGTTTGTTCTTTGTCTAGTGCGGAAGATGAGTATCGAAGCATGATACATGGCAATGTGAGATGTTGTGGATTCGGAAATTATTAAAGGAATTGGGCTTCGTGGCTAAATATGCCATGAAATTGTATTGTGATAATCAAGCTGCAATCGACATAGCTAATAATCCAGTCCAATATGATCGTACTAAACATGTGGAGATTGATAGACATTTTATTAATGAAAAATTGGAAAGCAATGTGATTAGTGTACCACATGTGAAATCAGAAGAACAACTTGCAAATATTTTGACTAAAGCAGTGTCTAGCCATGCATTTAGTGACTCACTTGACAAGTTGGGCATTGGTGACATCTACGCACTAACTTGAGGGGGAGTGTTGGCGTGAGTCCTATTTTAGGTAGGAAATTAATATAAGGATTTTTGTAAATATTGTATTACCTGTTCTATCAGGATTAACTTTTATCTTTTCCTTTGGTTAAAAGGCATTGTACATTATATATACACCTCCTTTGAGAGAAGAAATAATATATCAGAAATTCACCATATATCCTTATATTTTGAGAAACTTGTTTCATTGTTGGACGAGATGGAGGACTGGGATTCAAGCATGCAAAAGCTATCTGCACTAGAGAGACCACTTCCCCTGCTTCTTGATGTGTAGGAGGGGAAATGCGTTGGTCCAAAATATCCTCCATTTGCATTTGATGGGCAGGTAATGCAGATGATGAAGATGACAACAAAGATGCAGATGATAAAGATGACAACAGATCTCCCGGATGCCTTCCCATAATCAGTTCCAACGTTACCACTCCAAAGCTATACACGTCACATTTCTCATTCACTTCCATTGTATAAGCAAGCTCTGCTTAGAAAATCTCGTAGCAGTGGCATTATTAGTATATCAGAAACTTCAGTGTTCAGAACATTTTGTGATATGAAATGATTAAAGTACCTATTGCTAATTTGCTACCAGGTTCAATACTTTTTACTTTAATTACGATGGTACAGTTCAAATGTCCTGTTCGATTCTAACAAGTTGGGTTTAACCATGCATGAAAAAGAATCGGTGATAAGTGTTCAAATAAGAGAAAAAATGTTTCAAACATTACCTGGTGCTATATATCCATACGTGCCTGCAAGAGCACTCCAATTAGTTGAGTCTGGATTTAAAAACTTGGCAGTGCCAAAATCTGAAACACAGGCCTTATATTCAGAATCCAGCAAAACATTCTTGCTTGATATGTCACGATGTACAATTGGTGGCAAGCAATCGTGGTGCATGTAGGACAAGGCATTAGCTAAACCTTTAACAATAGTCACCCTTTTACTCCACCCCAGTTCTTTAGCTTCGTGATCATTGCTCAGCGTTGTGGCCAAGCTACCCCTTTCGAGATACTCATACACCAAAAATGAATGTCGTTTATGTGAACAAAAACCATAAAGCTTCATAATGTTCCGGTGTCGTATCTCAGTTAGTGCTCTTATTTCATTGAAGAATTCCTTTTGAAAATTATTCTCGCCATTGTGGAGAAGATGGAGTTTCTTCACGGCTACCATGTTGCAAATGAAAAATTTGCTCTGTACCTGTAAACACTTCCATTTCCTCCCATCCCAATGCAATATATGGAATCAAAATCTTCTGTCGCCCTTATGATTTTCTCATACATTGTTTTCCCATCAAAATCTAGAATTGAAAAAGAAATTTCTTTTTCTTCAAGCATGTCATCGTTTTGTTCCAGAGTTTGATTTTTCTTTCTTCTTGCTATCAGAAAAGCAAACATAAAGAAAGCAAGTAGAAGTACAAGTGCTCCGAGAAGAGGGAACACGATTACAAATATGACTTTAAGGTCCTTTTAGGAGTTATGTTTGCAGGATTTCAGAGCTCCAATGTTGCCGCACAGTACTCCTTTGTTCCCCTGCAATGCTTCCGGAAGAGCATTCTGAAATGCACTGCTGTTGGGCAGGGGACCCTCAAAGTCATTGTAGGATATGTAAACATACGACAACCCATTCATGTCTTCAAAACTCGTTGGAATAAAGCCAGAAAGATTATTGTGGGAAAGGTTGAGCATCTCCAAACTCTCCATGTTGCTTATTTCTGAAGGTATCTTACCTTCAAGCAAGTTATGACTTAAACAATGTTCATAGTTTTTATGCTTTGAACAATATTCATTGTTCCAGACTTGGAAAGTCTTTGCAATATCTTATATATTTTTAGAACTACTTTCACAACAAACCAAAAAAGAAGAAGAAAGCAGTTGGTAACAACCTAGCATTTTTTAAGATTTTGAAGATCAACAGATGATCAAAATTCCGAGAGTATACCAAGCGAAAGCTGACTTTGCATATATAGGAATAAGAATGTGAATCTGTTCGTTGCTTTTATTGTGACATTGCACTCGTGAGAAACACTACTTTCAGTTTTCTGAGAGGAACACCGTTGTTGTATTGTCTTGTTCATTGTTAATTTTGGTTGGTGTCAATTTTGAGCCTTGAGGGGTTGTTCTCCTCTTCTGGGATATGACAATTTGGTATTTTGTCTGAGGATAAAGCCAAATAAATATCTGATTTTCCTATAATTACTGCTCTTCAAACATAAAATTGAACTGACAAAGTGATTATAAATATTAACTTATGTTGTTACACCTTTTTTTCCTTCCTTCAAAATAATGAGTGGCACAAAAGTAGGCTTCAAATACATTGCTACAAGGGAACATCTAAGAAGGTTAGAAGAAACACTCAGAGGGCAAACACAGAGTTAATACGGTGTTTATTCAAATTAATCAATCAAATAATGTCAAAGAAATCATAAAGGCATGATAGGCGGATGAGCATGACGAGTGGTGACGGAGATAATTGAAAGCATTTAACATGTAGAAACTTACCCTCGGGTTGTAAAACCGTCGAGAGCAAGCAATTCACCACATGTTATCATATGCACTGACTTGGACAAATGCAGCCTCTGAGTTGAGAGGTGTTGAGAAACTTGTTTCATTGTTGGACGAGATGGAGGACTGGGATTCAAGCATGCAAAAGCTATCTGCACTAGAGAGACCACTTCCCCTGCTTCTTGATGTGTAGGAGGGGAAATGCGTTGGTCCAAAATATCCTCCATTTGCATTTGATGGGCAGGTAATGCAGATGATGAAGATGACAACAAAGATGCAGATGATAAAGATGACAACAGATCTCCCGGATGCCTTCCCATAATCAGTTCCAACGTTACCACTCCAAAGCTATACACGTCACATTTCTCATTCACTTCCATTGTATAAGCAAGCTCTGCTTAGAAAATCTCGTAGCAGTGGCATTATTAGTATATCAGAAACTTCAGTGTTCAGAACATTTTGTGATATGAAATGATTAAAGTACCTATTGCTAATTTGCTACCAGGTTCAATACTTTTTACTTTAATTACGATGGTACAGTTCAAATGTCCTGTTCGATTCTAACAAGTTGGGTTTAACCATGCATGAAAAAGAATCGGTGATAAGTGTTCAAATAAGAGAAAAAATGTTTCAACATTACCTGGTGCTATATATCCATACGTGCCTGCAAGAGCACTCCAATTAGTTGAGTCTGGATTTAAAAACTTGGCAGTGCCAAAATCTGAAACACAGGCCTTATATTCAGAATCCAGCAAAACATTCTTGCTTGATATGTCACGATGTACAATTGGTGGCAAGCAATCGTGGTGCATGTAGGACAAGGCATTAGCTAAACCTTTAACAATAGTCACCCTTTTACTCCACCCCAGTTCTTTAGCTTCATGATCATTGCTCAGCGTTGTGGCCAAGCTACCCCTTTCGAGATACTCATACACCAAAAATGAATGTCGTTTATGTGAACAAAAACCATAAAGCTTCATAATGTTCCGGTGTCGTATCTCAGTTAGTGCTCTTATTTCATTGAAGAATTCCTTCTGAAAATTATTCTCGCCATTGTGGAGAAGATGGAGTTCCTTCACGGCTACCGTGTTGCCAGATGACAAATTTGCTCTGTATACACTTCCATGTCCTCCTGTCCCAATGCAATATTTGGAATCAAAATCTTCTGTCGCCCTTATGATTTCCTTATACATTGTTTTTCCATCAAAATCTAGAATTGCAAAATAAATTTCTTCAAGCATGTCATCGTTTTGTTCCAGAGTTTGATTTTTCTTTCTTCTTTCTATCAGAAAAGCAAACATAAAGAAAGCAAGTAGAAGTACAAGTGCTCCGAGAAGAGGGAACAAGATTAAAAATATGACTTTATGGTCCTTTTTGGAGTTATGTTTGCAGGATTTCAGAGCTCCAATGTTGCCGCACAGTCCTTTGTTCCCCTGCAATGCTTCTGGAAGAGCATTCCGAAATGCACTGCTGTTGGGCAGGGGACCCTCCAAGTCATTGTAGGATATGTCAACATACGACAACCCATTCATGTCTTCAAAACTCGTTGGAATAAAGCCAGAAAGATTATTGTGGGAAAGGTTGAGCATCTCCAAACTCTCCATGTTGCTTATTTCTGAAGGTATCTTACCTTCAAGCAAGTTATGACTTAAATCTAGTTGGGACAAGTGAACTAGCTTTCCCAACTGAAAAGGAATTCCTTGACTAAACTTGTTGTTGCTCAAATTCAGGTAGTGTAATCTGTACAAGTCACTTATAGTGCTAGGTATTGACCCATTGAACTTGTTTGTGGATAGGTCAAGATATTCGAGATCAATCAGTGATCCGAATTCGGAAGGTATACGACCTGAAAGTTGATTCCCCTGCAACATCAGCTTCACCAAAGAAGTCAGTCTCCAAAATTCTTTTGGGATCATCCCAACTAAACTATTTGAAGAAATATCAAGTTGATGAATTTGGGTTGCATTGCCAATCTCAGGTGGTATACTACCGGTAAGGTTGTTTCCTGCAATTAGTAGGGTTGTTAATTGTGCACATTGTCCCCATTTGTGTGAGATTTCACCATTTAAGTTATTATGGCTTAGATCCATAAATTGAAGATTCGGATAAACACCAAGGTCTTCTGATATATTGCCTGTCAATTGGTTCCAACTAAGGCGAACAAAGGATAAGGTGGTGCAGGCTTTCAAGCTTTTGGGGATTGGACCAACAAAATGGTTGTTGTTTGCTGTAAATTCTGTGAGTGATCCACCTTGGCAAATATTTTGGGGCAAATAACCAGAAAACTGGTTAGTATCTAAATACAACAGAGTCAACTTCACTAGATTTTCTATCTCTTGGGGGACTGAGCCAGAGAGTTGGTTGTCACGGAGGGATAAGACTTCCAAGTTTCTCAAACCACCAAATGAAGTGGGAATTGAACCGTTGAGTTGATTCTGGCTCAAGTCTAGATCCACCATAGATTTCAATTTCCCAATCTCCTTAGGAATAGCCCCGGAAAGTTTATTTCCAAACAGATTGACATGTGTAAGATTTCTCATATCACCAATCCATGCTGGGATTGAACCAGAAAGATTGTTCCTGTAAAGGAATAATTCTACTAGAGACTTCAAGTTTCCCATTTCTGAAGGTATGATACCAGAAAGTTGACAGTCGAACAAGTATAGCACTTTTAGCTTTCTTAAGTTACCAAAAATTGGAGGGATAGGACCTGTTAAGTAGTTTTTGCTCAAGTGTACATCCACAACAGATTTCAGGTTCCCTATCTCCTTAGGAATTGTACCAGAAAGCTTATTTTCATCGAGAAAGAGATGGGTAAGGTTTGCCAGATAACCTAAATGTGTTGGGATTGAACCAGAAAGATTGTTTCTGTATAAGAATAATTCCATTAGAGACTTCAAATTTCCTATTTCTGAAGGGATAGAACCAGAAAGTTGATTGTTGAACAAATGCAACATGGTCAGCTTTTTTAAGTTTCCAAAAGTTCGAGGAATAGGACCGGTGAAATTGTTGGTGTCCATGTAGAGTTCAACCAAATTAGAAAGATTACCAAGTTCTGGAGGAATGGAACCAGAAAGGTGATTGTCAAAAAGATGCAGAGAAGTCAGGTAACTCATACTACCCAGAGAAGCAGGAACTAAGCCCTCTAGATTATTGGTGGACATGGCAAGTTCATTAAGAAAGTTAAGCTGGCCAAGTTCTTGAGGAATTGAGCCATTTAACTTATTTTCATGTAGTTCTTGAGGAAAAATTTCACATGTGAGGAGATACCGACTTACCTGCTACGTGTACAATGTCAAACCGAGCAAAAATATATAAAGAAATCAGTCTTCAAATCAATTTGAAAGTTCAATTATAGCTAGTACTAAATTACTAATAAATTAGTGTATTAACAAGCAATTCGGAGGTTGATAATTTTAATTATACTACCACATATGTGCATTGACATTACTGGGAGGGTGAGTCCATGAGGTTAGATTTTGCAGCTGGGTTTGATTTTGGAAGGTGGCTTTCCATTTGAGGAGAGCCTCTGCTTCATCAGAACCAGAGACAATAAGCTGAACATACAAGAAGATAAGACAATAAGCCAGAGAGCTTAGTTTATCATAGTAAGTTAAAAATCTCATGGTTTTTTCTTAATTTCAGGGTTTTTTGTTTTACATTGATGCGTTATAGACTTGAGGCATCACAGACTTGAAAACTCTCTTCCTCTTATTGATTTATTTCACGTTTGGAACTTCATTCAGGTTGGAATATACAAAGGATTACGTATGGGAAATATTGAAACTGTCCTTTCCAGTAGTATTGCTGCTGTCTGTTTTGCAGCTTTTGTAGATTTCTTTAGACACTTTTAGTCAAAGTCTTTGTTTCTTTGTTTTTGGTGAACTTTAAAGTCTTTGTTTCTTATTTTCAAATTTGAATGTAGTCAAATAATGCATCCTCTCCTTGGAATTAATAAAGATTTCACATGTGAGGAGATACCGATTTTCCTGCTACATATACAATGCCAAGCAAAAATATATAAAGAAATCAGTCTTCAAATCAATTTGAAAGTTCAATTATAGCTAGTGGTTCTTTTAAATATACTCTATGCTACTTGTACTAAATTACTAATAAATTAGTGTATTGACATAAGTGTTAAATTACCCGCCCACTAGATTTTGTTCTTTAATGTAACCAACGGCAATAGACTAAATTAGCAAATATTAGAAAACTTAGAAACACACAAGAATTATACTGGTTCGGCAGAACTTTTGCCTACGTCCAGTTGTGATTTCTCTAGATAGAAAAATCACTGCTCATTTGATTAATAATAGAGATTACAGAACTTTTGCAGCCCTATAACTAATCTCAAAACTCTCAAACTGTCTCTAGCTGTTTTTCCTCGCTAAAATAAGCCATGCCGCACCATATTTATAGATATAGAGTTGGCTTACATGTCCCAAGGCTGATTGAATTCCTATTCCTAAGTGGATTAGGAAATTACACTTATCCCAATCCTAATAGACTTCTAGAAATCCAAACCTAAATTGAATAAGGAAAACTGATATTCTTTCCTAATCCCTCTAGGACAAGAATTTGTATACCTCTAATTTTCCTAAAACAATCCTAAATCAACTAGGACATATTTGACGAGCCAAAATCCTAACAATAAGGGCATGCTTGATTAACAAGCAATTCGGAGGTTGATAATTTCAATTACACTACCACATATATTGTTCATCTCTTTGAAAAAAGCAAGCACTTGAGAAAGGCAATATTCGAACTTGCTAAAAACCAGAACCCCCTTGCAAAAGTATGGCAGAAAAGGGTAGCCCAACATTTCAGTCTTCTTGAAAACAAGAAGAGTGCAGGCTAGAGAGCAAAGCATACTTGGTCATAATAAGTTGAAGATCTCATTGTTTTTGTTTTGGTAACAACGATAATGCCATTTTCTATTACTCTCTGTTTGCATATTAAATTCACAGTAGACTTTGAGATTCAGAGTTAAGACTTCTAAATTTAAAGGTTTCTTCCTCCATCGTCGACACTTCCGGTCCATTTGATGTTGTATGCATGCAAACAACACATTTTATCATTGACAAGGAAACGAAACTAATACGATAACGATAGGCAATTTGGTGACGAAAAATGCTCAAATCTGATGTCATACCATGTACGAAAAGAATTATTGCTTGTTATCCATCTCTCAAGGAGAGCATGTATATATGATTACAACAAAATGAAGAACTCACAAAGCCTAAATATTAGTAATTACAATGATTTGGTGGCAGCTGGTTAAGATACAATAAATGGCTTTAACATCCTTCTGTTTAAATGTTTCAACTAAACTCAAGTTAACCATCTATTTGTGTTTCTGTGTATGGGAGATTTGTATTGTTACAAGAAATGTCATGCATGGTAGGCCTTAACTCTGGATTTTCATGTAAGCATGCAACTGCTAGCTTTAGGATGGTAACAACTTCATCCAGAATTTTACCAGTGGGATGTGCAAGGCGATCGTCCAACACATCCCCCAACATTTTGCCTCCCCGGATTGCAGATGACAATGCAGACCCCACTAGATTGCTAGGGTACTTTCCTTTAATCACTTCAAGAGCTAACACCCCAAAACTATAGACGTCACATTTCTCTGTCACCTTCAATGTGTAAGCAAGCTCTGCCAAAAAGGGTAAGCATAAGTTTTCTATTTTAGGAGAGAGATGCTCATATGAGAAGTTAAGAGAACAATGTATACAGGGGAAATGCTCTCAAGTCAGACAGTATGTGACATATTATGTTGCCAAGAATGTAAATCCAAACCA